GATACCATGATATGTGTGGCTCTGAGGTATAAGGCCAAGAAGAAAGGTAACGCTGGCTAACTGACCTCAGAGTGCTTTTGCCTCTACTTGTTCTGCCTCATTTGCTTTCTCATTCTCAGGGAGAAGACAGGACCATGGCGATAATGTCAAACTTAATTGCAAAAGAATGAAGGAGGAAGAAGGAACTAGCTAGGACTCAAGCAATAAAAAATTGTTTTTCAAGCCTTGTCTGGATATGTGAACCCACCCATCCATCATCTATCTGTCTATTGATCCCGTCGTTGTGACCAGTTTCAAATCAGCACAAAAGACATCTGCCCGCCTTTTCCAGAGGCAGCAGAGTACTGAAACTCTTGGGTATTGGCAAGGCTTCTAAGTGAGTACTTTTCTAGGCCAGCCACCATGTTTTACACAGGGCTGCAGGCGGTTCAGATGAGGCATTGGGAAGGAGGGCAATGACTGGAAGAAATGGCCAGTGGGTTGCAGTTGACAGTCTTGAGAAGGATTAGGCTGAAGAAAGGAAGCTTGAGAGGATGGTTTGTATAATAGAGGTCTGGCCTAAAGGGAGTTACACAAAGAAACAATAGGAAGTGGGGTAGGTTCCTCCTGAGATGGTGAGGCCCTGTTCTAGTTTCCCAAAGGGGTCAAATCACCATTAGGAAGTTAAGGAAGAACTTGCTGTGTTAAGAATTTGAGACAATGTGATCTGATATTCTCGATGTTAGCATTTCAATTTCTAAATAAGCCCGGAATCTGATTTCGCAAGTGCTTTGCCCTGCCAGGTGTAATGGCCTTACACTGACTGCTTTAATAACTATGGTTTACCCTATACATAAATGAGTGGGGTATTGGTTAAAATATGACAGTTCTCATGGCTGCTCCTGTTGGAATTCAGAGATCTACCTCCCTGCAATGCACACATGTGGTCAAATGAGGGCATGTAATTGTGATCAGAGCACTGCAGGAAGCAGTTCTTGCTGCGCTCACATGTTCTTACAGGGCCCTGACCCACAGTTCAGTGACTTGAATGCTTTTCTGACTAAGACAAGTGCACACATTGAGCAGACCAGATCCGTCTGACAAAACAAAAGTTGAATCTCTGTAAGGTGACTTCAGGACAGTTGGGAAACATATTTGAGCTCATCTTTGGATTTAAATGATTAGGAAGACTCCATTGGTGTACATAAATGGCCCTCTTTGAAAATTTGAATGAACTAGGAAGTGGGTATTTTTCACAAATAGGAAATGGCCACCACCCATGCTGCACAGACAACCTGGGAGATAGAGAATAAGGCGTAGTTTCTTGGTTAACCTCTGGCAAGGATTTCCCTCTTTCATCAAAAGGTGATGCTCATAATGAAAAGACTTCACTCCTTTCTAGCAAACAAACAAACAAACAAAAACAATTCACTGCCATCAAGTCAACGTTGACTCACGGCAACCCTACGTTACAAGACAGGGAGAACTGCCCTGTGGGCTTCCGAGGCTGTAATGTTTAGAAAGCTTCGTCTGTTACCGTGGGAGCAGCTGGTGGTTTTGAACTCATCATCTTGTGGTAAGCAGCCCAACATGTAACTCACTAAGCCATCTGCTCTCCTTCGCCACTTCCTTCTGGTCTTCAAATGTTTGAAGGCATAAGGCTCAGAGCTGTGGTAATCACCTTTCAAACACAAGAGGACAGCTAAGAGCTACGGGCAGAAAAGCCCATGGAGACCTACCCTCATTTGAGCCTTTTAAATCTGATCATCATGAAATCATGACATCATTGTGTGAGCCACTTTCCCTTTGATAAAGTATACTGATACACATCTGGGACAGACACACATATGCATGTGAAATCAATCGTGACTTTCGTTCCACATAGAAGGACTCTCGGTGGCACAGCAGGTTAAGTGTTGGGCTGCTGAACACACAGTCAGTCGTTCAAACCCCCAAATTCTCTCCTCCAGAGAAAGATGAGGCTGTCTGCTCCCATAGAGATTTCAGTTTTCGAAACCCTCAAGCAGTTCTGTCGTATAGGCACGCTGATTCCAAACTTACCCTGTGGCTGTGCATCTGGCTTTGGATTTTGGTTAGCTTTTACGGCTCTGGGTGGTTAAGCGCTTGAATAATAACCAAAGAGTTGGTTATTTAACCCTGTCCCGAAGGTGCTTTGGAAGGAAGCCTTGCCGATCTGCTCTGAAAGGCCCCGGACACCCGTCTGCAGTGTATTACTCTTCACATGGGGAGTATTACAGTTAGCTAGACAGCAACAGTTTTTTGTTTATTTACCTTTAAGTGTGACTGTGGGCTTGCAATGAGTTGGAATCAGTGTCTGAGTTCTCCACGAGAATATGATCTCACCAGCGACCCCCAGGGCAAGGTAGAGCTGCCCCATGGGGGTTTCTCCGACGGTAACCCTTTATGGGAGTAGAAAGCCTCATCTTTCTCCCATGGAGTTGCAGTGGTTTCGAACTTCTGTTAACAGCCCAACACATAACCACTAAGCTACCAGGGCTCCTAAGAGAGTGTGC